ATATAGTATAAAAATTGACCTGTCAAAACATTTAATTAATATAATAATTACCCTATACTTGTCTCGTCTTAACAAGCTATTTATTGTTAGTTTAATGTATTTTTTAGTTTTAAAGTTCAGGTTGTCATAACGTTATTTTCGTTCGTTAGTAATAGCATATTATGTTTTACACTGAACACGATTTTTCGTCGTCATAGACCTCGGAGAAGTCTAATTTCTCGTACGTATTCTACAGAACGACGTATTTAGGCCATCCGAAAGTGAAGTTGTTAATAAAATGCAAGTCTAGGCCTTTGCTAGTCAAAAAGTTAAAATTGAGTTACTTTTAAATTATTTTTATTACTAGTTATTATTTTTTTTAAGTAACTTCAAACCAAACAAATTTTTTGTTTATGACAGGAATATATTTTATAAAAAACATTCAATCATTTTTGTGTGGTTCAATTGACAATTAAACATCTCTGGTCAACATTATTGCCCTTTATAGGGTAATCGGTTGTCAATCGACAGTTCTAACTCAGTCAGAGTAGATGTATACTTTATAGCCGTTTACGCGTAGGTCATATCGACGAGAGCTGTCCGGAACTAGGGTGACTTTCGTCTTCGGCCTCGTAGTATATAAGTTGTTTCGTATGTTTACGATAAGTTCAAGTTAAATTATTTAACTTAAATGCTAAAGTTCGTATTAGTTTGTTGATCATTAGGCATATAGGCACACGGCCTCAAAGAACTTTTGATAATTTGCTTTGCAATGCTGCGGATTCGATTGCTTTTTTTTACCAGACGATGTCGGTGATGGTAAAATTATAATAATATAATATCCTTTCGCTTTATTTTACGTATTTGTTTGCTTTTCATTAGATGCCCTTTGTTCTTTGATGCCTGTAGTAGACATAACGAAACCCGCATTAGGTAAACAATTTAATCTGTTGTATGTTTGCTGTGCGTTTCACGGAAACTGTAGGAACCGTTCGTTGTGTTGAATCATTGAAAAAATATATTATGCGCTGTGTTACCGCTTGAGTTGTCTTGTACATTCATAATATGATATCATTGAGTGTAGCAACTATTATCTATAATATTAGTATATTACGTTACATAATACAAATGTTCTCGAAGCTGTAGATATTATACAAATAATTACAAACATCCATGCATAAATGTTATAAAATCTATTCGAATGTCTTCAACCATGTTCGTTCTTATTAAATAAATGAACCGTTGTAGTTTGATTTCGTTCAACGACTGTACAACGTAAGAAATAGGTTTCTGGGACATATTTTTTACGTAGCTACTTCTATCCGATAAACCTACCAACAACTTTTTATTACCTAGGTATAATTCAAACTATTTTATCACACAAGCATAAAGACGACTTCGCACTGCTCCATAAACCGTGATTTCCGGGAAAAAAATCAGGGCTGTGATTAGCTAAATCAAGCGGTTAGTAACCGCTAAAGCTACTATAATAACCGTAAATCTACGATTTTACACCAGAGAGTAGAATAAAATCTTGCTCTGGTGTATTTTATACCAGTCACCAATAACCATTTAATTATATGTATACGAACACTTAAATCACTTCATCACAACAAAAATCACAGTAGATAATTCAAAAAAAATTGTTTTCGGAAATCACGGTTCACGTGATCGCGGTGCAGTGTAAAGTCGCCTTAAGAGCACAACAAAACGCTGGGGTGATTATGTAGGTGATAATCTAACTTAAGTTAAAAAATAAAATAATCAATTGTTATTTATTGTCATTGGTCGAAGTGGTGGGAACGGGGGTTCGACGGGATCCCTCCACTTTTTATAATTTACATTTTCCATCCCTCCACTTATTTCGTCGAAAATCCTCCTCGTAATCATATACAAATATTATCGAAAAACATAGCTAAGTTATATATACATTTGTTTTATAATACTATAGGAGATTAAAGCTGTATTTTTTATTTTTCATATTTTGCATATTTAACTCTTTTTTTCATAAAAGTGCATATACTGTTATACTTGTATTTGAAATCCATTTTTCACATATTACCTACACAATATTTAATACGAATTTTGAGAAATCGAAAAAACATCGAATAAAACGATCAAATATTATTTGATATTTTATCACACAATTTATTGGTATTTACAACCATCGAAACACTTTGGTCACTAAATGTATTGTTCGTTTGAGCAACAGTTTTATAAGTAATTATGTGGACATAAGATGAACAAGTGGAAACTAAAGAACAGTCCAGAATTTGATTTTGGAAATTACAGTCATACTATGACACATATATCAAAAATGTGTTAAGAAAAATAAAAAAAAGTGGATGTATTTTTTAGTGAAGGGAAGGGACGTAAAATTGTGGTTGACCCAGGGCTAAATGGTAAATACGGTCCATATGTATGACATAAGGTATTTATTATTGTATGTAGTGCAGCTGAGCAAGTAAAATAAAAAATAAATTAAAAAAGTTTTTAAATTATCTTCTCTACATGTTCTCTACATCTTATATAGTTGTATAGATATTCAATTTCCAATTTTATATTTTCTACTAATAAATATTATATCGTAAAGAAATCGTATACAAAAAGCCATATTGTATAAATAGATAACAATATATTATTTAGTCACACAACTTATTATTTGTCAAAAATATAATAATTATCATGTTATATTTGATGTAATATACATAATACATTATTAAATTTGTAATAACATTTTAGTATTGAAAAAAAATCATACGAAGCGTTTTCGCGCATAAAAAAATATTTTTAAATTAGCTATATGCTTATAATTTTGTTACTGATGTCAATGTTTTCAACTCGTATTCGTTGAGTTGTGACAGAGCTTTTCATTATTTGCGTTCTATACAATTATTTCCAAAAAGGGTTTATTACAATATTTTCGTTTATTTTTTAATGTGTCTCAAAACTATTTAATATACGTATTATAATATGTTGTATAATATAATTTGAATTATTTTGTTACTCAGCGAAAAAGGTAGAAAAAAAATTTCCCGAGAGCCTGACGCACGCCTTGTTACATCTTCATGTCGTTCATAATTTAAGTAATCTAACAATAACGTACCTACCAACATATATTTTATTCATTTTATTCATGTTGACCACAAGTCACGTAATATTATATTTTGTTTACATACATCCAACGTTATAGGTATATAAGATATAGCATATACGTATTATGCATTAAAATGCACTATAAAACCTGCGAATAAAAATATAAATTGATGTAACCTACATAATGCATAATTTATATTATAGAGGTATTATGTTATATACATATTATATGATATTTTGTTTCAGTTACTACCTATCATCGTTTAATCAAACCGAATAAACACCACGGTGATGAATATTATTATATAGGAAAATTCTTTGGTATATGAATATAATATGAAATGAAACAAGTGTTTTAGGTAGATTTAATTTGTATTTTGTATAAATGTACGGTAGATAGGTATAACATAGTTTTAATAATTATTTTCAACAAAACACAAATTTCCGGTAAAAATCAATAATCCCATCGCAGACATTACTTTTTCATTTAATACTATACAATATTTTCATTGTGATATATACACAAGTACAATAGATTTAGAAATTTAATATCCCTGAGGATTATAAGTATAATATGTGGCAATAATAATATGTCTTATTGTTGAACGGTAATCACACATTTACTGAGCTGTATAAAAATATTATATCTTCTTTTAGCGTGCTTGTGCGTGCCTACTAATCTTACACAACTATATACATGGCGAACTTACCCATAAGATTTTCACCGCCGACGACAGAATGCTATATTATATATATGTATATATATTTTTTTATTTTCTAAATATGTTTCTCCGTATCGAAAACACTGCAAAAGTCGAATATAAATATAATTGATAAAATGCGTCTTCGTCCCAACGGACATATTGTTCAGTTGCAGGCCACTCTTAACGTTCAGCGTAGCCATTCATTCTTCAGTATTATATTTGTCGTACATTTGCTTACGTTTATGGTTTTCTCTGTTCTCTCTCGCTCTCTCTCTCCCCGTCGATTCCAGATCGATCCATTTCACCATGGCGTCGTCGGTGGCGGCGTTTGACATGTTTATTAAAGCACAAATACGACACGTTTTCTCCAAGGTCGTTTTCCACCAGAAACTCATTAAAAGGAATTTTATTAGTAGCTGCCATATACGCTGCCCACCCGCGCCCCGCGTCGTCGTTTACATCCTTTGCAGAGAATCCTTGGCTAAAGTATGGCGCCGACCGGCGAAATGTGTCTGACGTCGATCTGTTCAGAGTTAATCAACTCCTGCGACGGCGTCGCATGCAATTATTTTGCCCCTCAGTTTTAGCCAATAGCGTGTTTAAATTTCATTTGTACAGCTCCTATGTAATAAAAAAAAAAATTGTAACGGCGCCACGTCGTCAGCACGTGTATAGCTTATTACAACAACTGTTGTGTACAAACTAATATGTAATGAAATACGTATAGGTATAGCGTGGTGGTTTTAATAATGCACATAAAACAATTTTTAAATTTTAAAAAAATGCCGATGAAGTTAATAACTATATATAGTATGGAATACATTGTTTTTCAAGGTTGTACATTTTAGGATTAAATGTTTTTCCGAAAAAAAACCTATAGGTACCTATTATAAGTTATGAATGTAAAATCAATAGACATTAGACATGGATTTCCGACTCAGCTAATAATCTAATACGTAGGAAATATTATATTATAATATTATTTACAGAATAATCAGTGCTTGTATCGATGGTGAATGCATATTATATACGCGTACCGCGTAATATTTAGACATACAGTTTCTAAAAAAAAAATATTAAAATAATGGTAATTTTTTTAAGCATCAAGTGTTATAGATTAAATTTAATATCCTAGGTACTTTTATAACAATTTTAAAAAAATTGTTTTTTTTTTTTTTAGAATCGTTAAGTATAATTCTTATACCTATTTTTTGATTTCAGAACGCTATGTGGGAAGACTTAGGCGTGGCTAACGCGACAAGCGTGATAAACGAGACGTCCAAGGCCATCGCAGAGTCAGTTATGAGTACGACGATGATAAACGATGGACCTCTGGTGGACAGCGACGCCGTATCGCCGGTCACGTTGAGCATGGAATGGAGCAGGGTGGCCAGGCTGTTGATCATGATAGGCCTGTCCGTCATCGGTAGCATCGGTAACGTGTACATGATCAGCTCGGTAATGATCGAGGATCATCTAAACAAAAGGGGTGAGTACTTAATTGCGACCGATCGATAAAGTATAATATAATAATTATTATTCGAATTAAAGTGCATTCTGCACAGGCTAGTATTTTTAAACACGAATCAGTGCTGTATTAGTGGTTCATGCCGAATCAAAATAGTTGTTTGAACATATCGATATGTGTATTATATAGGTACATAATATTATTATGTTAAACATTATACCGAAAGTGAATAGCAAAAATTGTACACAATGAATGGACTTATATTGGTTAAGCGAAATGGAGTAGTAGCAGGGTATCCTCTCCCATGATACACTCGTTCTACTTCAGAATCTGTAATCCAGATTATGATATAGATTATAATGGTTATATAGGTTGTTGGTATTTGAAAAAAATATAAGCCATAATAAATATTGAATAACTTAGAAGTCGTATAAATATAGAATACCCGAAATACTATTAAATAAAATCAGAATGGTGTTTACTTAAGGGAATGTCAACCCAATATATGTTTTCTCTATCAGACCCACGCGCCACACGAACAAAACGTATTCACGCGTAAAGTGGTTTTTTATGATTTTTGAATAATCACTAATTTTATAAAATAAAATTACCTATTACAAAAATGATAAAGAATAATATTTTTGAGGGCTTGGTACATCAGCATTGCATTACATTATTAATTGACTTTAAATTTAAGTTGAAAATTTTTTTAAAAAAACTATGAATTGAGTTGATATTAAATTGTGTTGAGACAATATTTAGACGAACCAATAATGGGTTACACCATCAAAAATATTATTCTGGATAATTTTTACCCTAAGTTTACTCAAAAAAATAAAAATAAGTTATTTTGCAAGTGGGCGTTTTGTCCATAATATGTTGATCGTGGACTAGTGAGAGAAAACAAAACATACTGCAATGACATCTTCTTAAGACCTTCGCGCAGATCACCGCTGATTCACGTCAAAACAATCACCCAGTAACTCAATAAGATGATTAACAAAACGCCATATTGAAGAATGCATTCCATGACATCGTTGAACAGCTGTACCTATCGTTTATATTTGACCGCTATTTAAACCATATCGGGTCAGATTATGAGCCGTATAATATTTTCCGCCCAGGTGAGTTTCCTGCATCGTATAAGAAGTATCTGCTTTAGAGATCCGGAGTGACAAAATTAAAACATATTATCCTCGATGAAATTTAAATGCAAATAAATTGTTCACGTCTAATGTAATATATTAATACTTGTATATACAGTTATCCTCGAAAACAGGATACACTCTACAACTCAGTTACCCACTTATACATATATATAACTCAGTACTCTATACGTAATTTTGAATTCTGTTTGCCGAACACGAGACTAAACTATTGGATCATAAATTCTTATATAACTTGCAATTTTTTAACGCTTGTATTTTGCGCATGCGCGACAACTTAACTTTTCTGTGCACCCTGTTTTCGTATGGACACGCTGTATATATATATATATAATATATTGTTCTAAATACATATTATATGGAACGATGCCCGTGATTCTGCAGCAGTCTGTATGGCGACATCGACCGATGTCAAGGTGGACATTCGTCTCGACTAGCAGGTGTTGATTGTTAGAATATATATTATTATTAATATTAACATTGTAAGTTGTCGCTCAAAGTGTCGCACTCTGTATAGACGTGCATTATAAGCATATATATATTTTTGGCCGTCACGTCGTCTGCTTAGACGATATTTTATAATATATTCATACGATTTATATACAACGATCGCAAAGCCGAATCAATTTTCGCTAGCGCCTCCTCTGAGCGGGCATTTTATTCCACTGGATTTGGTAAACGCGATTTAGATACCCACAAAATATAATATTACTTTTATGCAACAATCATTTAGAACTGATGAATAATATTTATTCATTTAAAATAATTCACTGATGAATCATAAACATTTATAGAATATTAACATGTAAAGTATTATGTTTATAAAACAGTTATAAAATATCTCGCTGATGTCAACTGGTAATGTTCTTTTGAAACCTAAATTCAACATTGCATCAATGTTTCAATGTTTCATAACTTCCATAGTGCAGACGAAATTTATAGATATCTTAACTATCGTCGATTCTTAATTTACCAGTTTAAGTAATAGCAGAGACGTGTGTATAGGATAAATGCTCGCTTAATGTTTCGCCTCGATAACGACATTCTGCTGCAGCGCAGTATATCGCCTTTTTCTGTCGATATATATAGGCCCTTTAGTCGCTATGCACAACGATTTATTATTATCGTGAAGAAGTAAGAGTCCGAGTCGTTTTTCGAAGAGAGATCGTCTAAAACTCTAAAATACCCATATGCATATTATTGTATTATTTTAAATAATATACCTACTCGGCGCCGGTGAGAACTGAATTTATAGCAGATTTTTAACCTGCGGAATGCTTTTTTTATACCACCTAGTTCCTTTTTTTCATTTAGTTGCGCTATACATGTGGTGTAGAAAAGCGATTTTCCGCCGTGCCTATATGTCACTATACAGTAAAATATATGCTTACAAGATAAACATACCATGTATTTATACTACTGATAGGACACGACTGGAGAAGTCGTATTGTGGACGCTTTTCCGAATTTCGTATAGCTATAATGAAAATTTTGTAAATTTAAAATTGATAGTATTATCTAGTGACGATATTTTCAATAACTAAGATATCAAGTCATTAAGATGACTCACACTCGCATGGCCGCATGTGTTGTCTCCGTCTTACAAACACTTAGCATAGCAAATTTTACGTTCTGGATAATCAATTTAACTCTATTATGATCAATATTGGAGCCGATTGACCTATTATCAAATTTAAAAATACAAATATTATCTAGTGTACCTCTTCGAAATTTTTTTGCCTATATTTTAATTTAAAAACAAGTTATGAGTATTTTAAAATAAAATTGTAAATTGTTTATGCATTTTAAAAAACTCATAACTTGTTTTTAAAGTTAAAATAGGAAAAAAGTCTCAACGAAGTTCACTAGATAATATTTTTATTTTTAAATTTGTTAATACGTCAATTGGCTCCCATAAATCGATTATCCAAAACGTACAATTTGCTATATACGTAAGACACATGCGGATAACGTGACCTCTTTGTAAAATAAAATGCTCACCCATAAGAAAACCACAAACCATCGAAAAACTCCCAACAAAATTCCCTGCAAAAAAAAAAAAAAACGATAAATTTGATCGAGATCGCAACGACATATTATAGAAAACTTTTGAAAAGTATCAACCGTAATAAATCCTCAAGTGGCCGAGTATCTTCGACACTTAGATACCTATACTTGAAATGTATATGAGCGCCGCGACGAAACTACTCCTGATATAATATATATTATATTATTATATTCTATTATCTAGCGTCTAGTTACAAAGCTCCGTGTCTAGTTAGTACTACGTGGTATCTTTCGTCCGGTCCTTGGGGTATTTGAATAAAGGTTTTCTTGAACTGTATCTCCGGAGTCCGGATATGCTGGTCGGCGGCGGCGGCGGCGGCGGCGGCGGCGTACGGCAGACGGGAGCTTATGTCTGAACGACCTGTGGGAATTGTATTTATGCGTATTGCGTATGTATACCGCATTATACGTTTATATATTATGTATGTATATATATAGTACACGTGTGGCTGTAACGAGACTTATTATATACGTGTATACCGTATATTTCACAATATATATATATATATATATACGGCGCACCGAGCTCGATCTTTACCACGTCGTTATGTTATTGTACGTTATATATACCTACATATATAAATGGTCGGTGTGGGCTAGCTGGTATTTATAAGCTGTTTATGGTCTAACATAATATAATGCCGTCTAAAACTCTTACTGAAATGGCCGCCCAGGTGACCAGATGGTGTTATAGAGGCATTTTACGTCGTGCACGGTTAAACCTCCTATTCCAATAAGGCGAGTGATATAAAATGATATAATGATACAATTATTATTAGGTATAATCCTTCCGGTTTCCTGCTCAGAATAACGCAAGATATTTCACAGTTATATATTACATATAGTTTATATGACACTATACATATGTATAGTATTTACATATTAATTAATTCTCCTTATGCATTCTAGTAATAATCTACTATCGTGTAAACACTGTAAACTGAAATTGATATTTATGCATTCGACCCTGTTTCGTTTTAATAAAAATAATTTTTCCTATATTCTGTATGATGGTACTTTAGCAGATCATAAGACTCTTCGTGTGACCTACTGAAGAAAATCGAGTACAACATTATATTTTCCTGCCAAATATTTTTCTCCATCCTTCTCGTTTGATCAGTCAAGACACGCTAATCTGTATCTAGATGAATTGTGAATACTTCCTTTTTTAAACTTTCTTTCTTTGCACCATTGAAGTCTTTCCAATATTGTTTCTCCTTTCGGATTCCTTTTTAAAGTAGGAAAATGTTTATTTATAGTGATTTGTATTATTACACTACAATAGTTATTAATAAAAATTATAGTGACGATTCAATAGGTAACTTATACTTTTATTTTTTTGCTTATTAATTATTAATAAGCAATAATTAATAAACAATAATTTGTTTGAGGGACGTTCAAAAGTAAAATTTGGATTTTGGATAAATAATATTCTGAACATAAATAATTAAAGAACTAAGTAATTTGTATAATCAAGTCACAGGCTTGTAATTTTCTTCTTTTATCAAGCGGCTCGATGCTATACTTTCTCGCTGTGGTGGATCAAGCTAAACGTCGATTCTGTTGGTCTTAAATGCAAGTTCCCTTAAAAATTAATTTTTATCTCTTTCAATTGCATTAATCCAGCCCGATGAGGATCCCATATAACCAAACCATATTCCAACATGGAACGGATTATATAGTCAAATATAATATTTTAAAGCAATAAAATTAGGATTTTTAATTTCTGAACAACTGTGCCTTATATACCCTAATACTCGAAGAACTTTAATATACATCATAGTTATGT